TCTCAACTCGCTGTCCTTCGAGGTGAACCTAGGCGAAGGCGGCTGCCGCGGCCGAAGGCCAGAGCGTAGAGAAGCGAGTTCGGTAACCAGAGACGCAGAGCGGCGCACAGCCGCCTGCCCGCAGTTGTTTTGTTCTTCTGCCACTGTCATATACTCGGATTCGTGGCTCCGTTGCCTCGTGGCCATCTTCATCTGCCAAATTCGACTAATCCATGTTCGGTCGAACTCCACATAATGGCGTGGTCAGTGAGCGTTACGCAAAATCCGTTTTCATACCACTAAGGTCTCATTTGAAGCATTTCTTGCCATATGGAGCTCTTGCCAAAGGCGCTTGACTAAGATGTTTTCGGCAATGTTTCTCCCGAAAATATATTAATCAGAGTAGATGTGTCGAACAAGGGGCTGCCTTCTCATAGGGATTTTGTCAGTTTCCCCTACTAGGATGTTGCGCACAATAATTTCGCCAAATCCGATTTACTGCGCTATTCATTTGAAGTCACGTAAAGCGTAAAAGTGCTTATATGGCTTTAGTGTCAAGAATTATTTGCCAGAGAGAAATGAGGAGGTTGACTTTTAAGTAAACTATTTTGAAGCAAATCTCTCAATCCTAAATGTTTAACATCGGAGTTTACATATAAGCATATAAGCAGCTGTGCTCTTGTTTTTTGCAGTTAGTGTTAAGCAAATCATTCATTAAGATAGTGCTTTTGAAATTCTTATGCGGAACATAGTAACATAATTAGTTGTTATTTTGAATAGAAGTAAATTCCAGGTCCAAGTGGGCTCTCGCACATTCGAAGCACAAGAACTGCAGAAGCTCATTCCACAGCTTGAAGAAGCTATTCAGGTACGATATTGGCATCATCTTTCAAGCTGTTTGCATTATCTATTATATTAATTACTGATGTATTGCATCGCTGCCTGCTAGTCGCTTAAACAGTTTTATCTCATCATGTAAATCTTTCTTGTTTTTATGGAGATTCATAAAAGTATGGCTATCTTTGTATTTTCTAGAGGAAGGATCAACAACTGAAAGCTCAGCAGGGAACGGTGGAAAATCATATTCGACGTATCGCTGAATTGGAAGCTGAAGTAAATTCATTACAGGTATGTGCAATTCGGCAT